GGGAATGAAGATGAGAGAAAAAATGCAAAGTTTCGAAGAAAATTTTCTTTACGTGAAACTGATACTGGCCTTGGAAAGTCACTAAAAAAGATTAAAGATGTATTTATAAATGATAATGAACCAAATAAATCAGGTTTATTTGGTAGTAAGAAGCCAAAACATGGTACTTCAACATCACCAGACTCTTCTACTGATAACTTAACAAGAAAGTTTGTTAGTGAAGAAAATTTGAATCAAAGATTTAATAATGCCGAAAAGAAAGGTTTTGATCTTGGAAAAAAGGCGGGCATATAGTACTAGAGAGAATAGGCCAAATGAAGCTTTAAGACAAGAAATTCGTAATAATTTCGCACATGTTATGAACGAAAGAGAACAAATAATATCAGAATATGACATGAATAATAGCGGTGTTAATAATTCCATCCAAAATTTCACGACCTCTTCAGATGAAAATATTACATCAGAAAATTCATATAATAAGCATCCTGGAAGTGATTCTGATATTATTGAAGACCCTGTAGTTCCCAGAAGTAATGAGTCAAAAAAACCTACAACTGGTGTATTGTATGACATTGATGCATTGAAACGTCATGCCGAAATGGTGTCTCGATATTCAAGTAACAAAAGGGAACAATCTACATCATCAAGTCAAAGTTCGCAATTAGTACGTACAGAATCTATATCATCATCATCATTAGATAAGAAATCATCCAAAGACAATATAATAGGAAGCGCACAGGATACTATTACAACTAATGATGAACAAGAAATCATTGCACCAAAACTTGTATTGGAAATACCAAATTCAAATACAAATTCGCAAACATCGCCGCCAGTGCAACCAGTACAACCTGATAATAATAATAATAAATCATTAACGAATGAACCAGAAAGTATACCAAGCAGCCCACCACCTTCACCTTATAGTCCTGTTAGCTTGATATCACCATTTAGTGATGCACCATCCGGAAGGGGTTCGCCACCACCAATATCTCCAAGAAATCCACTAAGAAATTCAAGTTATGAAAAGAGACTTCAGAAAAAAATGATAGTTAAGCGAAATGATAGTACTGGAAGTAATCATAGTTCTGGTAGTGATGACAAACATGATTCTAGGGATTCAGGAACTTCTTCGAAATTCATGTCTATATTTAACAATTATAATAGTAATAGAAGTAGTCGTAGTAGTAGGACTAGTAGAACTAGTAAAAATAGTGATTATTTACAAGTTCCTACGACATATCCATCACCTGATAATGAAGATGATGATAATTCAAAGAAATCAAAGAGTAAAGTTATAAGAAGAACTATAATAATAACGAAACCGTTTTTACCACCTTTGCCAGAAGATTTATCACCCGGAGCTAATTCATCCACACCACCATCACCCGGAAGTGTTAAATTTGTCTCATTAGTAAATCGTAGGTTAACAAAAAAGAAAATTATACATCTTGCAGCTGATGGACGAAAATGGTTCCAGTCTAAGCGGGGTAAAGATAATAATTTAGATGAAAATAATAAAGAAAAGGCAGGTAGATTGTCACAACAAAGTTCAATCAATACAGATGATACAAATGACACAAACAATTTAGCCATACCAATACCCGAACGAAGTTCATTATACCGATCACCAACACCGATTCCATCACCTAATACGCGAGATAGTGTAATGAATGTACCATATGGAATTCCTATACCACCAATTCCAGCACCTCATCGACAAAGTGTTTCTTCAAAAAGAACAAGTAAAAGTAGCACCTATTCTTCGAATAGTAAATATCGAAAAAGTATTAGTGGAAAGAGTAATTATAGTGGTTATGGAGATAGTTTATATGACTGTTATGATTATTCGGACCAAGAGGCTGCCGATGATGAAGGAGAAGAAGAAAACGGATCAAAAAGGCACAAACGAGATACAGGTACCGTAGATCCTATACAATGGAGTACTATTAAAGATCGAGAATTTGGAGATGAAGATGCCATTTTAAACAATAATAATATGGATGGTGAGAATGTAAAAGATACGGTGGCTTCAATTGAGGGAAATGGAGAATTATTAGAACATCAACACGTTGAAGTTTTAGAAATGAGTGATGGATCATTTTTATGGCAAGTGGTGGATGGATTACGCGACGAAAATCTAGATGATCAATTCAATTATTATTATGATTATGATGACGAGGATGAAAATACCTATTTACAAGCTATACCACTGGAACCTGGAATGAATAATGATAATGTTGATTTGAATGACAATTCATTAGTCAAATCAGATTCTAGGTATAGTCATTTAGATTATTATTATGATACCAGTTTTCCAAGTCCATTGCATGTACCTGGTGTGATGCCACGGAGAAAATCACTCGAAAGTTCTATGCCTAGTACAAGTATATATTTTGCCAATGATATACCTTTACCCAAATTACTTGGAGAGATGACAAAAGGATTGGGGGGTGTTAATTTAGATAATGGGAATAATCATTATGTTTATGGTGGGGGGATTGAGAGTGGTGGAACTGGTATTGTTACGGGTATGACTGTAGAGGAGCATTTGGATCAAGTGATGAAGGCACTTGGAGTTGATGAAAAAGAAATTTTGTATTAAATTGTTTGTAAACAATCGGGGTTAAATTCTAATTACCATTCATTTTTTGTATACATATCACACATTATTCATTTAATAATTAAAAAAAAATTTTTTTGCATTGTTATATGAAATAATCCTCTTAGGTTAGCAATATATATATTATTTATACAATTATAAACGAGAAACGTTATTAATTATCGTAAAATTTAGATAACATTCTATATATACATAAAATTTTAAAATCTTTGATGGGCGAGTTTATTTTTACTGTAATAAATAAAACCATACAGACTTAAAAACTTATTATGTACTAATCTTTTATTATACTAATAAATAGAGGGATGTCAATAGAAACCAAACAAATGTTTCTAAGTAAATTATTTTTAAACCTTAAATCAAACTTGATAAAAAATTTTTTAAATTTAACATTTTAATAAAAACAATTTGCTTGGTTTCTACTGACACCCCCCTAAATGTAAATTTTAGGTGAATTTATTGTAATTTGGTTCGAAACGC